TCCCCTGAGTGCCTAGGGAATGCTGCCACCCACAATGGGCTGTGTCTTTTGTACATCAGTCAGCAATCAAGACAATCTTCTCCCCCACAGACATGCCCATAGGCCAACCTGATCTAGATAATTTCTCAATTGAGACACTCTGCCCAGGTGATTCTAGGCTGTATCTAGGTGACAGTTAAAACTAACCAGTACAGGGGTCTATTTAAATGCTTAACAGGAAATATTCACTTATTGATATAGAGCTAAATAAGTTAGTTAGAAGTATAAACTTAGGGGTTGGAGTGATGGCTCAGTGGTTAAGAGCACTAACTGCTCTTGCAGAGGACCCACGTTCGATTCCCAGCACCCACATGGTGGCTACAAACTGTCCTTAACTCCAATTCCAGAGGAATCCAAAGCTCTCTTCTGACCTCTGCAGCATTGCACGACACAGGTGCACTCAAAGTATAAGCTTAGAAGGGCTGGGAAATGTAGCTTAGTGTAGAATATTTACCTACCATGTACAAAGTCCTGGGTTCAACCTCCAGAACTGAAAAAAAAACAATTGTTAGAATTGTAGTGCCCATTAGTGCTGGCCCAGTAGAAATTTGATGGATACTATACAGCTTGGATTTTCCAATGAATTATTACTGAATTAAATGTATCTTGTCATAGATATCTTTCCATTAAAATAATAAGCTGTGGGGGCAAATAATTGGGAAAGGAGAACACACACATGTACATCTTGTTTCTGTTACTCTCTACTTGATTCTTCAGCTGTACTGTGGGAGAATTGGGTGACATGAATGGATTTCCCTGATCTGACACACCATCTTTCTACATTCTTTCACTGCAGTGCATGCAAGAGATGGGGAATGGAAAGGCAAACCGACTCTATGAGGCCTACCTTCCTGAGACCTTTCGACGACCTCAGATAGACCCGTATCTTTTCTGGAGTAATCTAGATGGCAGTATGGAATGTCGATGTTTGGGAAGAGTCCGGCAACATTCAAAACCTGAGATTTGACTGGGCTGTCTCTGTATGGGTTAGTCAAAGGTTTGCTTCTCTCCTGCAACCAAGACAGAGAAGGCCCTTGTATGCTTTCTGATGTTGGGATTGTCATGTCGTATCACATAGGGAAAGCTCGAATTAGGGCTTCAGTGTCACTGTAAATTCTTCCATAAAGTGACAGCTCCACTAGTCTTTGGAATCTCTGGAACTATTGATTGATGACAAGAATAGTTTACTATGCTCTCTTGAACCCTAGGAGCCAGCAAAACTGCTATTCATTTTTATTGCTTTTTAAAATATCTTGTTTTGGGGCTGGAGAGATGTCTCAGTGGTTAAGAGCACTGACTGGTCTTGCAAAGGACCAGGGTTTGATTCCCAGCACCCACATGGTGGCTAACAACCGTACATAACTTCAGTTCCAGGAGATGTAATACCTTCTGACCTCTGTGGGCATTGCATGACATAGGTGCACTTACACACATGCAGGCAATATACTCATACACATAAAATAAAAATAATAAATT